AAAATTAATTAATTTTTTTTTACAATTAGTTCAATTAAATATAATATTCACTCAAAACTGTGACTGATATAGTTCTTTTTTATTTATTATTATATAATTATTATTTGTTTACAAATTGTTAATTATTTTATTTATGTTAAAATTCTTTAACTATGTTTCTAATTGAATTACATTTTATTATTTACATATTCTTTTTCAATTTTTTATCCTTTGATCATTTTCTTTTCTTGTCATGATGTTTGTATACAAAATCTTATCTGATAACTATCATTCTTAAAAAGCACTTAATATTTGTAAATGATCAACTACAAGTACATGGCCTGTGTTACTAAGTTAGTATTATTTATAATATAAAATGGATTTAAGACTGGAAGTAGATCGTATTTTTAAATAAATTATACTTTTGTGATATAATTTACTTATTTAGAAGAAAACGGTTGCTAAAACTATTATACTATTTTTCTGATATAAAATGTATAACTGATTAAGTTAGGTGTTTAATAATTTGCTTATTATAATGACTATAATGGCGTAGTGTAGGTTTCAACTTATTGTATACGTTGAAAATAACATGTTAATAATTTTTAGGGCACTCTGCCCTCCGTGCTTCCTATACAGTTTTCAAAACTTAAATTTTTAATTTTAAACACACAAGTTTTTCATATTTTAAATCTTAGTAATTATTAGTATTACATAGTTATTATGGTTTTACACACCAAATATAAATCACCATATGTTAAGTACAACTATATTAAAATGATGTGTTGAATTCGTTAAAACGTTAATGTATAATAATAAATACAAATAAAAAATATTTCGTAATATTATATTTTTTGATTTTTTTTCTAAAAGCTTTATTTAAACAAGTATCTCTTCATTTTTTACCAAATTTAGTTAAATCTATTAAACATAGTATGTGATTTTTAAAGACTTTGTGACGAATTTTTAAATTATGAGAATTATTGAGATCGTTGAAACAAAGTGTATTTAGTCCGAACGTTTTTTTCACGGCATAAAGTACTGAACACTAGGCCAACTATATGGTTTGTTCGTTTTTTTACAACCCGATAACCGCTTCAAATTACTGTAATATTCGAGTATAATTTTTAGATTTTGTCGTTAAAGAAGGTAATTTTGGTGTGGGTGTTCCTACCTCAGTCCTCAATTGCACTTATTTCTTTTTTTCATCAAAATTCAGTGAACCACTGAACCGAAAGGTTTGTTTAATAATAATATTACATACTAGTTACTTATTAGATAATATTTCGATTTATAATTTCACAATAATAATATTAATAAATGTATATTTTATATAAGCAGCGGCTCACCGGGTAATTTCCTGGTATACTGGTCATTCAGTCCTCCCACTGGTTACAAGCATACGCCGTAGATTCATGTGCGAATCAATAGCGTATATACCTACCTAATACTGACCAGTAATCGTATGTGCACGTGTCGAGAACATGACTGCTACGGTGTGTCAGCGTTTTATGTTTTGTTATCGATAAAAAAAAAATGTATACCTACATTATTGTCACTGTACCGTATATGCAATCGCTAATATACATATTTCGCACATAACAAACAAGGTAGGTGCCTACCTCCATAAAATATCGTTGCGAGATATTACTATGGCGCGGTGGAGACTATAAAAATATAGTCATACCTAAGTATTCTTAATGCGACATTATTACGATGAATGGCGTCGTGGTCGTGGTGTTTCGGATTGATCAATCCTCATCAACTACGAAGATAATCGATAATAGATAATATTAAATATATTTTAGATTATAAAATACTACTATATGATGTAAGTAATAATAATAAAAATGATTTTTCGATTTTTGAAGTGTATGCTGTGCATGCGCGCTACGCTACTGAGTGACTATTATTTATTATTATTGTTTTCTTGTTTAATGCAATCGACAGATATACTGCAACAAACGACTGTGTACAAATTGCGTCCCCGATAAAAATAAATTGCGACAAGTGACATACATATTGCATCCCGGTTATATGATAGTAATTTAGTATACCTATATATTATGATTATTTGGATGAATATGACTATTAGATGTCTATATCGAGTAATACTTTGAAATTCGTTGATAATCGTGTGCTGTCCTGTTTTCAAAAATTATTAAAATATAATTTACAGCGTTGTATTTTGTATGTATTAGCAAATAATATACCATGCAAGTCATGTATTAAGTTAAATCACTGCATTTTGAGATCAATCTGATAAAGTTAACCCGTGCTCAAACACTGTTGGGCTTTTTAACAATTTTACAGACTTAAAACTGATAAAAGTAAATTGTTGGATTTGTTGAAAACTGTTTTACATTAGCAGTTAGTAACTACACTCAATACACTATTTAAAAACTACATACGCCCAGTGCTGGATCCAGGGAGGAAGTGGGTATCCTTGCCCTAGGCGATGTTGGTTTAAGGGCGTTCTTAAGCTTATGAAAAATAAAAATAAACTATCAACATTAAATATTTAAAAAATATGTATAAATTATAACATATTTCCAAACTTTTATCAAGAAAAATAATACATTAGTTAATTTTTAATATTATCATGTAATCCGATGACACACAATAATTGTATATTATTAAATTATTTTAATGTTAAAGTACGCTGTACGAATATACAATATATTTTCTATTGTTCGTTTACTCTTGTCAAGTAGTCGATTTTATTTAAACATGACGCGATTTTGTTATATAACATTCATGACAATGGTTTGATGAAAATATTTGTAATATAAAAACATAATAATTTTTGTTTTGTATTCAAAAATGTTGTCTTATATTGACACCTGGCACACCGCATATCCATGTAAGGGCGCTGAATTTTTATTAACCCCGGGCGTCAGACACCTAGATCCGATACTGAATACGCCTATGTACGTTCTTTTTATTAAATATTTAATTATTATATCATATTATAACTTACACATTTGTGAGATATCGGTTTTGAAAATTGTATGTCTTTATTTTATACATAATAGAAAAACACAAATGTTTTTTTTATTATGTACAAATATTTCTTAAATAGTGCACTTATTAGAAAATTGTTAAATGGACAACGTCTGTACTTCATGGAGTGCAATGGTATTGCTTTTTTTTATAGGCAAAAAGATAAGATGGGCACAATCATGTTACAGCCAAATTATTTTCCACTGAGCTGAATTTAATTTGATCCTAGCCGATACTTGGGCTAAATAAGGAATGAGTTATATAAAAAGCTTAGTATTTAGTATCTATGTTTATATTATAAATTAATTATAATTTATAACATATGGCGGTTATGTTAAAATTACAATAAAAAGTATTTATTTATTTATGTATTTAAAAATTTATTGAACTTTTATATTAAATATGTTTTTGTATACCTAAATGTTCGTGATGAAATCTGTAAAAAAACTTAATATAATAGTCGACAATAATATATTTTAGTTATACTAGGTGCATAATGATAAATGAACTTAACTTATTAATGACTGTATCGGTGCATAAATAGATATTTTGAAGTAATAATATGTAGATAAATAGGTACATATCTACATATAAGTAATTAAATGCACTATTAATTTCAAGGCCATAAGTCACAAATCGCTGTAATACGTGAGTTATTGTAATATATCTGTATAATCCAACTTTATCCGGGAAAAACTGAAAAACATAATATATGGCGCTATATTGCTGTGTTTTAGTTTTATTGTAATTACTTACCTTATAGGTAGTTCACAGAAAAATCGGTATCGGTGTATCTCAATTTGTGAACTTCATAATTCAACTGAGGTCTGAAATGAATAATCTATTTGTGGTAGATTAGATGTAGAACTTTAAATATTTTTTGTTGTTTAGATGACTCAGTAATCATTCCTGATTTTTTAAAAATAATTTCAAATTTTCGTTGAATTTGATTGAATAGTTTTTGAGCTTATAAACAACAAATATAATGACACTGATTTTTGTTGTATCTACATTTGAATAACAAATAATAAATTAAGTATTATTTTATTTTATTTGAAAAAATTGCATAGCATCACATGTGGTTCTACATTTCTACTAGTTAATATCAATTTAAGTTTGGTATTACTTCCTGTTGTCAATGGCAATTTTATATACAAGTAAAAATTTATTCGATTTTCGAGAGTCCAAACAAAATTCATGTGTAAGCTGTGAGCCACTCTGTACCAACCTTAAGAGATTAAAAGCAAAGTTAAAAACATCTTTCAAATCTTAGAAAATATGTCAATAAAACTTTTATTCAAATTAGCCATGTCGTAGTTTACGAAATTAGCCATTAGCACATTTAAACATACCTCTCAGCTTTAAGATAGGTACTTGATAAATATAAATATAATTTCAAATCTAAATCTTGTCCCGATTTTCCAATTTTATAAGAAATTACCTAGGTTCAATACACTTTAACGTATTTTAGTTATAAACATATGAGGTACCTTTAATCTTCAATCTACTACTATTAATCAACACTTTTATCATTTTTGGCACTTATAAATTGTTATAGTCTGTTACTTTGTTTGTTAATTTTTATAGTTGTACTTACAAGGGCATATCTATTATTTAGATTAATCATCCTAACATAAAATTATATTATGATATATTAATTCCTTCGACGTCTAGATGACGGAAGGCTTTTTGAATTCAAGACCGCGTAGCCGTGTAGGTACCCCATCATGTCGATAAACTATACTATTGTATTAAATATAAAAAATAGCAAATATTCAGAAAAATGCATTTTTTTGTTGAGTACATTGTATCATTTTTATAGATGTACTTACCTTCTCTTATTTTCATCATATTATTTCATCTTCTAATGGGCAGTTTCTATAATTTAGTTGGAATTAAATTATGGTATAAATGTATAATTCTCTTAAAATTAATTTATTAAATATTTGTCAAGTATAAATAATAACATTGTTATATAATAATGGCAAAGATAGCATACATCGATATTAATTTAAAAAAATATATTTATTTTACAATTTATATTTTATTCATAAGAAATGTGAAAAGTCACAAAGAATTTTGTCGTTAAAATACTTTTATACCCTTTTTTACCGTTAGGTAGATATACAATATTCAATATTTACATTATTTTCTTTGCATGTGGTATAATTTTAATCTGTAATGAATGGTTATGTATAGCTAACAGCGTAGATCTTCATATGATATAATATAATAATATAATAAAAAACAATATTCTCAAATTGTTTGATGTTTACAATTGTTGATCGTCGGTTACGAATTCTGGATTGTGTATTCCGTTTTCCATAGTCTTGGATGACGATTTTCTGTAATAGAAAAGTCGTTTTTAACACATTGATAGATAATTCATTATACTGAGAGATCAGTTTAACGTAAGATACTCATTATTTAAAAAATTATTAACATTTATTTTTTATAAATATTTTTTTAATATAATTTTAAGTCGATAAAAAATAATATATTATAAAAAAATATATAGATTTTTTTACTATTTTTTATTTTTTTTAATGACTTCATATATTTTTAATTCTTTTATTCAAAGTTGACTATTTTTTTAGAATATTTAAAAAAAGTAAAAACTCAAAAAATTTAATGAAAAAATTATTTTTAATATAATCAGTAATGACTTAAATTATATACAAGAAATTTTTTCGAAAACATTGGTGTTTTTTGAAATAATAAGTGTCTATTGTAGATCACTCTGTATTTATAACTTTATAGAATATAATATAAGTATATTCTCATTTTGTCATTTTGATATAACAATAATAATTGTGTAATGCAGAATCGTGGACGAGTACCATATACAGTACCACCAGTGCTTGATTTTGAAAAAAAAATAGAAGAGGGATGCTAGTGTAAAAAGAATGTACGTACTTGGTGATAATAAAGTGTCTTATAACTGATAAAGATATAATTAGAAAGGTATAGACAATAGTCTATAATAATAATTAATAATACAACAAAAAATATTTTTGATAGATTAAAAATATATATAATTAGTAATTACTAATCATAGATACACAGATATTTTAAATATTAAGCTCATTTAAGTTGAAATTTAATATAGTGAATGTTTTAGGAATAATAAATATTAAGGTAAAAACTAAAAAGTATGAATAGTATACCAGCATAAGAGTTATTGCATGAACCTAATTTTTACCTACATATTTTAATTTTTTCAAAATATATAGTGCCGCAGTTCACCTAAAATTATTATCACTTATTCACATTCTGTACTTTGTACGTCATATTATAACAACTATGATAAAAAATATATCTTCATAAATAATACATACGTTACTTTAAGTCCAAAACGTTCTCCGTCTTCAATAGTCACCGGCAATTGTGCGCCTTTCGTTTCCGGCAACAACAGACACAGTAGAGCGCCAATAAGTGGCACCGTGCCGAAAACCATCGGCGGTAAGTACACATTGAACACTCCCTGAAACGACAGAACATCGCGAGTTTCGCGTAAAATTCTTAAATCATTAATTCCATTACATAAATCAATATTGCAGTAATAATAGATGCGTTAAAAAAATTTGATGATCCACCAAAGCTCGACAACTTGTTCGTGCAGATTATGTAGATTTTAATTTTTCAACAAATATAATCTAGTAACGAAGATACAGAAATGTTTAGTACATTATTTCGTACGACAGGAGTGATTGCAAACTATTTTACAGTATATTTATTATTTAAAATATTTAACAATTTAATCGCTTGTTTACTTTAAAGTGTACCCATGTTTTAAGCTATAATTATTTATTTTTTTAGAACGTCATACTTTTACGTATTTGTTTTTATTTTAATGGCTTACAAAAATGTGAAGATAAAAATAACATTTTAAAACAATAGGTACTTGAATGTCTTGAAATAATATCTTATAGGTGCATATTCGAATGAAGCTTACAAATCCAAACACAAATTTTGAAAGAAAAATTAAATATTAGTATCTATTGAATTTCATAATGTATTAATTTGAATTTATATTCAAAAAACTTTTTTCGTCATTGTTTTTAGGCAACATTTTTGGTATTTTAAAATAATGTCGTCCACATAATTTTGTTTGAGAAAAATTGTTTTTGGTTTTTTGAACGTATTAGTCATGCCCTGGTGGGATACAGTAAAGAACAAATACCAGAGACGAGACGAATGGAGCTATTATGGAACCAATCCTAGCACACATGGACGCCGACCCAACACCGACGTTGCGCACCACGGTCGGAAACAGTTCGCCACTAAACAGATATATGGTTGGAAAAGCTATCGATGATCCAACTATGCCCAACGACGCCAATATGAACTTGAAATGTTCCACTTCAGAATCTGCAACACACGTGTGATAGTTATTTATTATTTATCAACGGGGCACCAACATAAATTATATTATAGTAAGTCTATAGCATTGACGTCAAGAATGCCCAAATTAAATAAATATTTATAATTTGAATTATCGATCTTATCTACGTGTATATTATCTGTCTCAATGTATATCGTATAAACAGATAAAAAACGATAATGCAAATAATTATATCTATAATATAATATGCATTACCTAACCTATAGAAAATTATTATAATTATTTATTTTACGCTAAGGTTCCGTACACGTGATCAATTATATTTTTCAAACATTTGATGTATGCCGAAATTAAATGTAGATATTTACCCAAAGTAATTTCGTTAATATTTTATGTTATGTACAAAAATGAATTAGCAAAGCAATGACCTAATATTAATAACTATATATTCAAAGTTTAAAGGTAAACTGATTGGAGAATTATTGGATTATAGATGTGGCAAAATCATTATCTACATTGCCAATTTGCACAATAAGATTAGGTCCACGTTTTAATGATATGCAAAAAAATCTATTTGCCAATTCAAAGAAAAATGAATATTGATAATGGATATAGATAGTGTTAATCCGATATTACTAGACGAAACAGATAATAGTATGGATAATCAAAAACAATATAATTATGGAGTCTTTATAAATTGAATAAGGCATCAGAATAATAGTCTTCAGTTGATTTAAATTTAATAATTTAATAAATTCTTGCATTGAAATATTGTAGAATTGTATGAAGACGCGTTAATTGAATGAGAAAACACTATGGTAGGTAATAAATCCTAATCTATGTCCTATACAAGTTAGCAATAAAATATTTACTTATTCTGGAAATGTTAAAACCATCTGAACGTTTATTTAGTTAACTTCAGGAAGGCCAGGTAACAAGTTGCAAAACTTTTTAGATTTTAAACTCACAGATTAAAGTCAATGAGCTTCAATTGTATGAGTTAAAATTGTAGTCATTACATACACATTTTAAATACCTTTATTTTAATTGTTTTTTATTATCAAAGAGCAATTTATTTTTAACTATACGAATATAACATAATATAAATCTTTTAAAGGAAAACTGACTGAAGTATATTATAATTTCTGTCAATAAGTAAATTATAATAGGTACATATTTTCTTTCTCATTTTATTAAGCTGTCTTAAATTTTATTACGATATCACTATTATATCAATATATAGATATTAAATTCGATTTGGGTATCTCTAATTGCATTTGCTGACCCCTAATTATCAAACTTGACCTTTTGCCGAATTAAGCTTTAAACTATAAGGGAATAAAAAAACTTTGATTTTTTTTGCAAAAATATAATAAAATATATTAGAGCATGATTAGTATCAACTTAATGGGTAATTTTTTTCCAGTAAACTTAAATTTAAGTAAAACATTGTAATGATAATAAAAAAAAAATTATCTCCTTAGTTTAAATGGTGTGCCGACGAATAAAATTAATACTTTTGACCACTAACACGGCTTAATTCAACCGATTAAAGGTAATGTGAACGAAGACAAGTTATATTCTCGTATATTTATACTACTATTACAATTAATAAAGAATGACAGACTGTACTCAGTTTCTCTTTTACGTAGTTATGTAGGTATATTAGTACTTTGAATTCCACATAAATAAATAATATTTATTAATATATAGTGTACCTACACTGAAAAGAAGTGTTTGAGATATTCGAGCCACGTTTATAACGGAAAATACTTTCATAGGTATAATTTATACGAATAATAAGTATACATAATAATATTATTATGTAGTTGCGTGTAATATCCACTGTGCTTTAGAGTAGCTCAGATTGTTTCGCTTAATAATGTAATATTATTGTTGAATTTACCTTGTGGTCAAATTCGTTAGATGTTCGTCTAATTATTATAACTGTATAATTATTTCTACACGTAATCATAAATCATAATATATAAATTAAATACATAATATTATATTGATATATCTTCGTAGCGTATTATCCATCTACAGTACATTATTTATATATTTTAACACAAAAATTGTTTATTTTAAATTAAATTTAAATAGTTATTTGATTTAATACCAGAAAAGTTTACGCTCTCAAAAATAACATACTTGAATATTTTTATTTTTTTTTTTATTGAACTTAAGCCACAGCCGACTAGGGTCATTAATTGTTGCAGGGGTTATGAACTGTGGATAGGAGTAAGGTTGGTACGGTAGGTTGTTCTTACGATTATTACAGTTGTTACGGTTGATAGCAAACACATGTATGTGTAGCAAGGTTTTTAACCACTATGAACCCGGGTGGTGACCCATCCGGGAGCTAGTAGCTGTAATTATTACTTACTTCCAGTCGCATTCCGCGACTGGTATAGCAGTCAATACGCCACGTCAAACCGAATATTTTTTATAATTACATATTATGTTATATTCAATATAATATATTATATCACAATCGTAGGTAAAATACTTTTTTGTTCTAAACATATTTAACATCATGCACCGTTATTTTTAACTCTGTATTACCTGAAAACACTTTTTTTTTAATATAAATTACTTGTAATATTATATATTTATAATGTAATGTATACGTATGTCATATATATATTATTTTATAGTCCAAGACCAATCAATGTGATGCAATTTTAGGTAGGTAAGTACTTATACTACGCTCAATATAAACAGTGGTGTATACTCGTACTGCTATAGGATGGCGCGACGAGCAAAACGTCATGAGGCCTGTACTGCTGTACTAACATACAAAAAGTAGAGGCCCATCACATTAAAAATATAATAAAAATAGTTTTAATAATATTATTGAAAAATAATTATTTCATTTTAATATTATGATTATTTTCTTTTTGTAATTTAATGTAGTTATAATAAATTTAATTTATGGTTTCAGTATTACGGGTATCGTATAATAGTAGGTACACAGTACCAATAAATAAAAAATTGAAATTAACGAACGTGAGTAGTTAGTAGATTAGTATTACTTTTAAATGAATGATAAGTAACTCGGAAGGTGAATTTTGGGGAAATGATTAATGTTTTTTGTAAAAACATTAGTTAAATAACAATTTAAAAAATATTTTTTACTTAGATAATGACAGCGTCATTAAAAAAAGACAGTTTTTTTAAATAATACAAAATAAATGTTTTATTCTTTTAAAAGGTTTTTTATTTTTGTTTTAAAAATTAAAACACACCGCTAGACTTGCATGTGTTGTCTTTGTCTTATAAACGTAAACTATGGCAATTTTTTGTTCAATAGAACCAATTTTGTATATTATTGTTTTAAATATTAAGGTGAAATGACTTATTATTAAACTTTAAGCTAAAAACATTGTTTGTGTTCTGTCGTTGAGTTTTTTATGGTATTTTAATTTTTAAGTGAATGATATGCATTTTCAAATATTAATGTTTTATACATTCGTGAGTTCATGACTTACTTAAAAATTAAAATATTATAAAAACCGACTAGGAATCACAGATAAATGTTTACCTTTAAATTCACGTTTAATAAAATGTTTATGTGTATAATTTTTAAATAAATCCATACTTGTTGAAAACACATTCTAATCTTGAATGACACTATATTTTATTATAATGTATGACATTTATAAATTATAATTAATATTTAATTTATTTTGATGTTTTGTTTTTAATTATTTTTTTTTTCATAGGGAAAAAAATATATGTTACTTTTTGAGGGTACATCATGAAAATGCATAAACAATTAGAGCCTACTGGTTTTTTTTTGTCGTGGACCTTGTTAATCTTAATTACACCACTAAGTCAATATATTTAATTCATATATATATATTAAATAATATAGTCATTAAATCGCTCACTTTGAGGCAAGAATGTGATCAATATGCAGGCCAGAGCCGTCACCAGGTTGGCGGACAGCAAGGTGTTCCTCCGACCGAACTTCTCCATTAGGTATATGCACAGGAACGCCCCCGGCAACTCTATGAGCCCGGACGACGCGACGTTGATGAATATGTTGCCGCCGATTTCGCCCATATACTGCGCTAGACCGTAGAAGCACAAACCACACACCGTCCAATTGAAGAACACGGCCAGCGTCTTCTTTCGCAGATTGGGCGTCCGAAATAGGTCGAACAGATTGCCCTTATTTTCGTCACTACCCTTTCCCAACTGGCTATTTATTAGTGATTTTTCAAATTCGTTGTCCAGCTTTCGGTTGTTCCGCGAAGCGCCCGTGGTCAATATTTTCCGCGCCTGTTTTTCCTTGCCCACTGCTAACAGCCACCGCGGACTTTCCGGTATTATCCTACGCAATAAATCTTGTATTGTAGATAGGAACTTCCTACAAATATCGCTCGATCGGGACTTAGTATGGATATACTCACCACCAGTACGTGAAAAAAAACAACGAGGGAAGTGTAATAGCCAATTGAAACTGTCTCCAATTTCTAATGAAATACGAAATGAGAGCCATGCTCATGTGACCCAAATTAAATGGGATGTGATGTAAAGTGCTAACCACAGTTCGCCATTTTCCGCCTACTACTTCCATGGCTGCAATTCATTAAAAAAAAAAAAAAGAAAAAGATTTGTTAATAATTTCAACAATGTTTATTAAAAACAATTAGAGTATAATAAGTGGCAACATTTTTTTCTACTCATTTCAAAATTCAAATTAATTAAATATAAATAACACGTAGCCCACCAATATCCTAACAATTAATTTATTGTAACCTAACCTAGCGTACGAAGGTTAACTTAGACAGTTGATTGACAAAACAATATAATGACAAAATAGGCTAGGTTAGGTTAGATTAAGTTAAGTTAGCCTGTAAATCTGCTTTATAAATATGTATACAGCTGTGGATAAAACAAAAATCATATTGTTCCTAATAGGCATGTATAAAAACTTTTACTATTGGACAGATCTATAATCAATTAATATCAATTTACAAGTTCTAATAATTACCTACATATTTTACTATAGTTATGTTATTAAATAAAATAATTAAATGCTGTTAAACCTATTATTGTTATTTAATAATTCATTATTCTAAATTAAAACCTTCAAATAATTTATTGAAACATTATTTTGTGATTAAATGTAACATAATAATATTATGTTTACAGTATTTACACTTCATTAATATGTAGTTACTAAAAAGTAAAAATAATATATTCTAAGCACTATAGGTCAGCAGATAATAGTTTTCCGGAACCTAAAAACAAATTATTTTATTATGTGGTTTACCGCCATCCATACAATTATTTGTAATTTTTCAATATTTTGATTCATGGTCAATTACCCAAACAAATGTTTTTTGTTTTATTATTACAAGGTTGGTTGCATTAAATTTTAATGGTTCAAAAGACAAATACATAAAATATTTTGTATTTAAATTATTTAAACATGATTATTACTTATTATACTTAATATTTTTCAAAATATAATACATGTTATTAATAGATAATACAGGAAAATTGAATTGCTGTTCATTGGTATTGCAACGGAATTTTAAGTGAGCCAATTTTATTACCATGTAATATTTTAGTTCTTATGAGTAAATTATAAGCTTGTTACTCACTTAAAACGAAGCTACTAATCATTAGACCTCCAATGGCTAATGCGGTCGCAAATCTAAGTGGCAGAAATAGCTCATACCAAGGAGCTAACGATGTGCCGACACCGCCAACAAGTAATAAAACAATAGCGAACATCATTGGTATTTTTCTACCATATCTAAAAACATTAAATACTTTTTTATTACAAAAGAATTTAAAAAATGGTAGTAGTAATAATTTTTTTATATAGATACTAAATAAGCATTATTACAATAAATAAATAATAATTTTTTTTTAGTTTATTTGAGCTAATTTAGACCTATTGCCTCTTCCACTATATTTCACAACACGTCACTATATCTATCATTGTCCTTTTCTCCATCCTTGATTTATTCATTTTCTCATTGTCTTGGACATCGTCTTTATCATGTTTCATCTGACTTCCACATTGTGGCTTTGTAATAAAGCCTGTTCTCAGCTTTTCATACATGCCCTAACCCAGCGCCTCCGAAATATTAGAACACCTACTATATTAGCCATTAGGTTCATTGAACATTCTTCTTAGTTTTTGCATTAGAATTTCGTCTGTATTTATCATTTTCAGCGTTACTTCTAATATTTTAAGACCGAATTTTTTGCTAAATTATTATGCAAATTAGGCATATTAATAAATTATAGTCGGAATGTAATCGATATTACACTTAAAATCTAATATACACATTTATCTTATTAGTACATTTTAGTATTCATAACAGTTTAGTAAATGTCTTAAACAAAATGTACAAGCATCCGAAAGTCATACAGTTGAAAATTTGTTTTTTATTTTTGTGTGTAAAGTAATTTTGTTTAAATTCATGTTGAACATATTTTATACTGTATATAGCTGAATATTTCATGTAGAATATAGGACGTAAGTACTAAGTACTTTCGATTTTAACTATTTTATAACTTCACAAATCGTAAGAAATGCAAAGTGTATGATTAAAATTATTCGTTCTAATCATAAAATGAGGAGTTTACATCAATTGGTCGTCTGAAATAGGTCGTTTGGTAAATTGGTCGTTTAATAAATAGGTCGAAGTATGTTTTCGTCGCAAAACATGAATATTGGCTTAAGAACGTAATATATAGAGATACAAACGGACAATAATCATAACTATACGTTTTGTGATAATAAGCTGAATAACAGCGTATACAAATTTAAACAGTCAGACTAAATCATCTGAAAATGGTCCAATATTTTATCGGAATAGAAATCCCTAGAAAACGGAAGAAATACACATATAATGGCACCACTATGAGGATAAATACAATATGTAAAAGTGTAAAACATCTAATAATAGAACATTAATTGATGAATACATATCAGCGATAGCTCATTAATTTATAATACTTTTCACACATATTATTGTTTATAACTTATATTTTCACACATATTTTTACATATTAATTTTAAAAAAAATACGACAAAATAAAATTTTCATATAATATACATATTATTTTGAAAATGGCCAAATTCATACGACCTATTGACTGTAACTCTAAAATAAAACAATTACATGATTAATATATGTATATATATAAAAATAGACAAGACGAGTACCTATAGAAAAAAATAGAGTAGTCGCAAACTCTATACAAAAAAACTGCGAATGAAATTAGTTGCGGTTCATACAAAGAATAATATTGTTTTAATATTTAAAATACAAGAAAAAAATGTAATATTATAATGTTTCACAATATACATACTTGTCAGAGAACATACCGAACAACACGTTGCCAATAAGTACGCCCAACATGAACACCGATTGTGCGATATTGGACAGTTGGAATCGGCCGCACACCAAATCCCACTATGGAACAATAACGAAAATCAAAATGGTAGTTTAATATTTTTGTAAAAATAAAAATAATTGACCCAAGACGATTGCAGCAACGGGAATATAACATGTAAAATATTTTAAAACTAAAAATATCAACCCACAGCAGCACATTTATTGTTTATTGCACCCCATTCCTCAATTTTTTTTGTTACTTTATATAGTCACTCTCACGTGGTTTATATGGGCTCGAGAGCTGTAGCTGGTTCGCGAACCAGAAATTGCTGCAATCGGTATTTTTAATATTTAAAAAATATATTACCTCGGTTATTATGGTCTCTTGAAACACGGACCTGTCGTAGACGAACTGATAGCACGGTGTCATATCGTGTGTAACCGGGTCGAGGGAATTGCATCTATCAGTCACGTTGAACAGTGTTGTTGACTTGTCACCGATATCGCACCGAAACGGCGATTTGGCCGCTAAAAATATAATTGCCAACTGGTGCCAGGCAATTGGAAACTTCAATAGGGACAGGGCGAACGTTATCCAAAACTGCCACCAACCGAAGTCACCAAGTGCCGTTTGCACCGGATCGCCATCTGACTTGGCGATAGTCGACGACTGCTGGTTGAGGTCGGGTTTTTTGTTATTATAGCAGACGTTTGATTGTGTTTTTTTCGCATCGTCCGTCACTGAAAATTTTAATAAAGCGTTAATCGATTCAGCAATAATTAAAATAAGTGTATCGAGAAATTTAAAAATATTAAAAACGTTCACGACAATAACAAATCAATTCCTTCTTACTTACTGAATTTTCTTATTGTTTATTTCTTTGATTATTAATCTATACTACTATACTGCGTAATCGACCACACTCTACATATATCATATATTTTTCACATTTAAAATATACACTTTTTTATTATTATAATATAGTTATTAAATTTGGTTTATATTATATTGTTTACCAAATATATTTCCTTATTAATCCTTAATTATTTTACAATTTTCAAACACCATTTTATTATAAAATTTAATCTTTTATGATATTAAATTATTACTTGAATACCTATCTATCTGTCTGTATTAGCCATATAAGTTTATTCCATATTACACATTGTTACAATATACATATGATATTTGTATTATAAACACAACATATAGCTTTTTCACTATTATATATTATTTAATAAAGTTATATAATTTAAGTATAATGACCACGAGTGTGTCCATTGTGCATTTAAATAAAAAACACAAAGATTATCAAAATCATGTATAATATGTTCATAATATTATTTTGAACATTCAATGTAATTTTTCTTCACCTGAATGCATAATATTTAAATATCGATTATAGATAGGTATATAAGATACTTTTATCGATTCCTTGTCTTGAATCATTAAGATATAAACAGATAGTGAGCAAAATCATTAATACTAATTTTCTATAAATGGTTAGGTCAATGTTATAGGTAAATTTCAAAGTTATAAGGATAACAATATACTATCCATTATTATATAAATATAAAATAAATTATTCATAATAATGTGTATAAATTAATTACATTTTATATAAACGATTAAAATTAAATGTTTCCAATCATTGTTGTCTTGTTTAGGGAGTACCCTTGACGTGGGTTTGAGCAAAGCGTTCGTGTCAATGTACGAAATAAGCAATAACTAATAAATAAAAATCGTTAATATTATAATTTATGACTAATGAAACAAAGTAGGTATAATATAAAACTATAACGATTAACAGTTTTTTAATTTGTTACTACATTTTTAGAAGTTAAGTTTGTGAATTGTGATAGATAATATTCATTATTAAATTTTATATATTTTATTTAGATAATATAAAATTTGTTTATAATTTTAAAAACGTATAAAATTTATATCCAATGCCTGATCGCTTGTGGATAACATAATAACTCTTATTCTTATTATGTCCAGGTTGGCAGGCCGTAAAAAGGCTTTTTTATTCTCTTTTTATTACTTAGCTTGGCTACGCTCATGGGTAAATAGTACTGAATTTGGAGCGCATAATTATTAATTTAAAGGTATTTATGTTATTTAGTTTGTTTATACAGTAACAGGTTCCAAAATTATAGATTATAATTTTATTAATAATACTATTTTGATAAAAGATGAATTACTTTGAATATTTATAAATTATATTAATTTAAAATTGTCTTTTTAATAGAGTAAAATATGTGTTATAATTTATTCGAGCTATAATAGTAACCACCAATAAAAAAATTAGATTTTTTTCAAATATTTTAATTAAATAATTTTATTTAGGATTCTAAATTACTGAGTCAAGTTATATTATGGATCTTGCATAAAAGTAATAAATGATTAGATTAATTTCTGTTGATTAAAATTACTGAAAATATATATGACTCTTCTACCAAAGTGTGCTTCATTTAAATAAATCATAAAACTTTGGCTCCATTAAATTTTCTATAAATTTTGGTAATTTACTTAACTTGGATATATAGGACGATAATTGTTAACCACCGATTTAATACTACCCTTCTACAGAGGAATTATGAAATAATCTATACGCCAAAGTTAAAAGATAGAAAGAATAAATAATGGGTTAAGGTAGTTAATAAATGTCTTCATAAGTGTAAAAATAAAAATAAGATTAAGCCTTTGCCAGATATACGTTAGGGTCAAAGTATTTTTTCAAGAGTCCTTAAAATATTTCGACAATAAAATTAATATAGCACAATTTGATAAATCAAAAATTTAATAAATACCTACCTATATTAAGTTTAAGTATATACCTATTTATAGTTATAATAAGAAGATATACATGTATTCTAGCATTATCAAAATTAGACTGGAAAAATAAAGAGCCAATGACCAAAAAGAAAAAAAATATTATAGTTATAGTATATATACCAGATACATATCAAATATTAAAATTAAATTAATATATAAATAAATTCTATAGGTAAAATTAAGTTAAGATTTTCTACAATTTATACTCAATGTTGATAAATTAACCCTTATGCTATCTCCAAATTATGTAAGATATAAATTAAGTAAAATTATTTTATTATATATTTTTATAAAATCAACTTTAGTATTATAAATGTTAACAATAATTAATGTTACCTACTATAAAATATAATTTCTTGCTATTTACACCCACATACATCTATTCGAATTCCAACTCAATCAATTACATTCTATTTTCCATAAACAGTAGTTTGTATAAATACAGTAGCTTATGCAACTATTATACGATATTACTTTTTCTTTCTTGCCTAAATTTAAAGTACGTTGTTAAACGTGATTTTTTGTCTATGTGTTTTAAATTGCATCATCTTTTTTTTTATTTATTTTAAATTCGGATAATAAATGTATTTATTTATTATAAAATAAATTACATTGTATGTGAAGCTCGAACGTAATAGTGAAAGGAGTCAAATACCCATTAGTCATTTCAGTTTATCCAAACGTAAACAAAAATAAATTTGGCTAAGAAAACAACAGTAACAATACTAACAATATAATAAAGTTGACGTTAATGGTATTTTTTATTTTACTTAATCTATCAAACTTAATGTCAACTAAATAGATACTAATGTAAATTCAATAGATGTATTATTATGTACCTAACCATGTAGGTATATAATATTAAAATGTGTAAATATTGTACGTATTATACACTGCCTAGTCCTAGTGTCTACAGATACTATACGTTTTACAACAATAATCTAAAGCAAAGTATATGTTACATGTTACAGTATTTTATAAATGCAGTTGTAAAATTATTCAAAACGACAAATTATCTATAGCAAACTAAATTTAGATTGTTTCTTATTATTTATTTGTATAATATACAAGTAAAATGTCTGTGATTACTTTGAATAGTCTAAACATAATAATATAACGCATATTATTATGAATTACTACAGAATTTGATTTTGTTCACAATACATGATTTTTTTTAGAACATTTAAGTATTATATAATACTTTATTTATGGATTTATGAGATTTGAAATTTGATATCACTGATAATTATTGTATTAAAAACAAATTGATATCGCAATATATATGATATAATTTTTTATAATTTTTCTTACGATTTGAGTATTATTTATGTAAGTATAGGTTAGGTTAGGTATAAGTACCTTTATTCATATACATATTTATAACATTTTCGAGTAGTATTGAACTAAGTAATATACTGAATAGGTAGATCACTGCAGGTATACAAACTTACAAATAAATATTATATGTTAATTAATAGATACTTACAATAAAAATAACTAACTGTTCTGTTTTATTAGGTAGATAGAAATTATTTTATTCTAAATATCTAAAGCGTTACTAAAGTAAATCAATTAAATTAAATTAAGTCTGTGACTATAGCTTTGTACTACACACGAACAACAAGTGCGCATACCTGAGATACCTAGAAGATTGCGAAATATAATTTATTTATTTTTAATTTTTCAAATCACATTTCAATAATCATCACATTGGCTCAATAACACCTAACCAACAGCTCCAAGTGTTGTGTTTAATTGTGTCGTGAAAGTAAGAGTGAATTTTACAATAAAACAATGCATTCAAACACATCCTCATCTTATACAGTATACCTATACCTACTATACATAATATATACATTATACACCTATATACATATATGTATTATTTCTGTGGAATTTTCTTACGTAAGGTCTTTACATTGAATACCCGTCTATCATTCAAATAGAAAATACGTGAACTGCGTTTAATTCGAAATGTACATAATAAAATTATAAAATATAAAAGTATAAGTAGTTTACGTATGTACACAACTCGCTCAGGTATATATTTTTTGACAATACACGAAATTCTTGGATTAATTTAATAAACGAATATAATATAATATGATGTGTTCAAAATTGCGTAAGAAAAATATAAGTATATGACCTATTATATTAGGCTATATATAATATATTATCTGCTTATGTTTACAATTTCAAAATTACACTACCAATAGCGCTAATGTTATTTATTAATTTTAATATAGAACATTTCGACTGCTGGTTGTTAGAACACGATAATTTATTGATCTAATTAGTATAGACACTTTTTACTAACATTAAAAATTAACCGTATATATTTCTATACTAATAACAAAATAATAATCAAAGTTAATAGTATAAATTCCATTTCGTTGGAATAAAAACAAATAATTTTAATTTTAATTTTAATGTACCTAAACATAATGATTAAGTAAGTTCAACAAAAATAATTGTTAAATGATTTATAGACGGAATCACTAAAATTCATTGTTTGCATAGTAAATAAAATTCATCGGATACCTATCTATAATATATATAGAGGACAGTACATTGAATTATTAAAACAACAAAATCATACATACTATTATATTGAAATTGGGCGTTTTCAGCGTGCAACTCGACCTATTAGTCTACACAGATTAAACACTTCGCTAATTTTAGAGATACTTATTATATTTGACGTACGCTAAGTAAGTGAGCTCACAGTAAGACGTTGCGCGTGTAATATAAGAAAAAAAATAGAACATAAATAAAGCCTTATTATTATTATTATTATTATTATCAGTTTTCTTTTCAAACGTCAAATTAATTTGTCGAATTTAAAATTTTTCAAGGTTTTACGAAATGCGTTCGATATAAAAAATCAACATAAACAAGTTATTAAACTATGTAATGATAATAATAATATATTTTTCAGACAAAAAACGAAGATAATGTAAACTGGCATGCGGTGTAGTGTGTGGTGTATACGCGTATAATATAATAATAAACAAAACCGCATAAAAGATCGCTTTCAAGTATAATATAATATAATGATATGGACTATATATTTCATATCTAGTATTATAGTATTAAATATAATATGTGTTTATATTTAAGGGATACGATGCAACAGTAAATGTATTTAAGAACGTATAACTATATGCGTATATAAGATACGTGAAAAAAAGACACGTAGGTAAAACAAAAATAATAGAGTCATACATAAGTTACCTACAACAGACCTTGTTATGCACACACAGCACACACGCACACATTCGCACATTTTCTCGGGATCGCATTGAAATTTTCATCAGTGTTTGTGGAACATACATTATATTATAATGTAATACTCATACTCATGTGCGTTGTTCGATGTATAGGAGCATTATTAATTTTTTCCGACCTTGGGCACAATATTTTCATGTAATATATTTATTTTATTAATCAGCTTTATAGAACTGAATAAAACGTAAAATCCAATTGTTTCACATTGTAGATATAATAACAATTATAATAATATTATGACACTAGGTTATTTACAGCCCGAACAACTTTGCTGCGCAACCGTCGGCTGCATGACTATGCAATTGACACCCATAATATTATAAATAATGATTAAATATAATAATATACTATGCGTACATGTGAGCGGAGATGCGAGTACAATTTTGAATTTTGAATAAGACGTATGCATATTTCATAACATTTAATAATATTTCGACAAAAATATAACGATATATAAATATATAATATAATTAATTATAAATTTTAAAAACATTTTTGGGGATACTCAACATATTATGTATTTACTATTTAGATTAATGGTTCCCAACCTTTTCTATTCTACGCCCCCTTTTGTAGATTTTCAAAAATCTCACGCTCCCTCCAATAAAATGAAAAAAATCGATCATCTTTTTGCATGTATCTTACAAATAAACTATACAATATTCGGAATGACTATTTTTTTGTTGATGATAATTTATCGTTTATCCGTTATTGATACTCAATAACGGATAAAAGGAACCGGTCAATTAATTTTTTTTCTTTACGTTTTAAAATAAAAATTGTATTTCGTAGTAATAATTGCTTACGCCTCCCCAGGAATGTATATAAGCTCTCCAAGAGGGACGTGCCCTCCAGTTTGAGGACCAGTGATTTAGATAGACACTAGTAAATAGATTGTTTTTTAAATAGTGCACTTAATTATAAACATTTTGCAGGTAAATAAAAACCAAAACCAAAACATCTAAATTCATAGATGTATAAATTTTTAAATGACACATTTCATTTATTTATATAATACTTATAAATAAATAAAATTGAATGAGAAAATATTAAAAATTTATTTTAAAATGAGGCATAGCTTTTTACATAAATGTATGTTTTCATTGTGAAATAATTGGATAACCAAGATTGTACTTCAAGTTGTATTTCTTACTAAGATATTTTCACCTACATACATAAAATAGTTTTTAACTTATGACTTTTATCGAAATACAAATAGCAGCTTCACATTTTTGCATTTTTAAAATTTTAAAACATTTTATTTTTAATTCAGTAAGAATTGTAGTTGATAGTTAGGTAAAGAACAATTGAAAAAAAACATTTATTTATTATTTGAAGACAAATGATGGAAATTAATAATTATACAATAAGTTTCATCGTTTTATAGAATGTTGATCCATAGGGTAACTAGGGAAATATCAATTCGTAGCAATGTTCATTTTAGAATATTAATTAATAAAGCTTATAATATTATTAAATTAAATTAAAATACCAACATATAAACTACAAATTTATTTTAAAATATTATTAATTATAATTTAGAAAAATTAAAAAATCAATTAACCTATATATCATATAGTATTTATAAAAGTATCATTGTACAAAAACAATGTATATTATTATGATAAAATATCGTAAATCGTAGTATATGCCTATAATATCTGTGTTAAAATTATGTCCCAAGATACAATACAATATTGTATCTAACAAGGTACTACTCATTCTTATGTGTAGATCACTGTATATTAAATGTTAATGACTGTCCTCCGATATTTATTATAAATCGCATTCACACATTGAACATTAATGATGGCGACGAAAGTGACTCTTCACGCAACTGGAAAATTTGATAGATAATGCGGTTTATTAAAATATTATACGTGCAATACGTGTGTAAAAATCGTTCCAAAAATTGCATTAGAACTAATCGTTTAAACCGATGAAAATAATATATATTATACATCGGCACATTCCACTCATACGTATATAATAACATATATCAATATAATACTAGAATTAATACCTATATAGTCGTACCTCTTTGAATAATATTAATCGATAAGTGGTAAATAATTAATTATCTTAAAATAAAATATTATAAGTACCTATTAAGGCCGGTCAAAATAGGATCACGAGAAGATATCTACTATACTTACCTATATTTCTGTATTTTCTATATTTTATGGTATTATGTATTGTTCATTTATTATAATGAATATAGGATTTAACATTGCATAATATTTAACGTAATATATAAACGAATAACCGTACGAGTAAAAAGTGAAACTGTTTTTGTATGGCAAAAAAACCGAGAAAGAGCTATGATGTGTTATCGGTAGAATTTTTTTGTTGTAAAATAATATATTATTTTCTGCACCTACCGGGACTTGAGGTACACTTTTGGTTATGTATATTATATATTACTTTACTTTATTATTATATTATGCTGTGTCAAGTTAATTCATTACACAATAACGTTTTAATTAATAAATTTAATTTATAATATAATATTATTTAGTTCTTATTAGAAAATAATTTCTTTAAATTTTTAATAAACTATAAAACAAATAGTAAAATATATATTATTGATAATAATTAATAAGGAAAGCTTTTTACCGATTCTAGGTTGAGTGTAAAATTTTAAACATTTCCTTTTTTTCAACTTAAATTTTATAAATTGGAAATTTTTACTACTAGACTTTATTTTTATTTTTATTAAATAAACAAATTTTGTTTTTATACAATCTGTAAATATATTTTTTTACAAGTATACGTGTGGTATGAGGTAAAAGGGGACTGATGACATGATTGAAAAATCCATTCAGCGATGAAACTTCATGACTACTAAGACTTAAAAATTAAATATAATCTTAACTTCAAATGATATTTTATTGATTGCAAACTATGTAATCTATATGATTATATGAATAATAATTCATAGTTACTTATGCCTATTTTTATGGTCAGTGAATATCATTGATTTATTTGTTACGCTAGTTCCAAAAAAAAAAAACCATAAATCATATTAACCCTAGTTAATAAAAGTATTCATTATAATATTATGTTTAAGATATTTCATCAAAATGTTTATAGCAATTTTATTTTTTGTTTTTAGAAATGATTGGCAAGTAAAAATATTTTTTTGACTACCGCGTTATCTACTAAACTTGTTATCTGTTGTACTTTAATGTCTACCGTTACCTACATAAATAATTGTCACGTTATATAATGTATGTATAATAACTAGGCAATTTACCAAGCATGATCACTTCATTTTTCGTTCAATAATGCAGTTATTAATTATTTGATTTTTTTACATTTTTAAATATTCTTAAAAATCATTTTTCAAATTTAATATTTTTCATGCATAATATTTCTAAAAATATTAATGTATTAAAAAAAAATTTTGAACAAGTTGTTTTTAAGATATTTTATTTTGTGTAATAAGAATAATTATAGGACTATGATAATGAGTTTATAAAATCTATAGTCTATGGTAATTTAAAATGTTAGTAATTTATATCTATTACATTAAATGTTAACTATAAATTTTATGATTTGTAAAAATGATTATAATAAATATTAATAAATACTAGATCCAATATAACCTAAAATGTAAAATCATACTTGAGAAATATTATACTTAACATAAATATTTTAATAGCTGAGAAACGATTTTAATTTAAATGTATTTAAACTTCGTTCAATTTTTGAATTAGGCACGTCAACATTTTCAAAAAAAAAAATTATCCTATAAATGATTTACAATTCAAAAGGAGTGGTGATTTTAGTTCGAAAAATAAAAGTTTGTATCGCCACAGGACTCTATTTAAATAGTAATTTTAAAATATGGTCTTTAATATACTTAAATATTCTATTAATCAAAATTTGATTAATATCATTATTGAAGGAAAAATGAGGGTGAGCATGCTTAGTGAATTACGATCCTGTTTATAATAAAAAATATTAATCTTATCATTATTATTATCATTTAAACGTCATGCTCACTGGTTATCGATAATAATAGTATGTTATGCGTGTGTGGTATTATATCAGTTCAGCAGTACATGTCTGGCAGAAGTCTCTCGGACGTTGGTAGCGGCGGTCCGTCGTCAAACCGAGGCACAAGCACTATGAACACGCGACCACGGAGAAATTAACGTGATCCAAGCAGAGGAACGTGAGCGCAAAGCGACGTGCGGGTGACCTAGCTGGGCAATTTGTTTTCAAAACATCTTACACTGCGTACCCGAGTGTGCGTCAGGTGGGTGGGAGCAGGAACGCGATTATTGTCATTGCCGCCGCCGGCACTTTCGTCGGCCGCGATCTTATTATATTGTTACCTATCCGTTATTGTTAATATATGCCGTATCCCGCAGAAGCTTTACACATATATTATTATGCATTCACCCGACGACATTCATTCGCAGAAGATAATTTCGTTCAATTTGGTCCAATCAATTTGTAGCCACATAGATAAACATGTGATTTCGAGGTCATTTTACTCTCGTGCATTATTTATCCATCATATTATATAGTAGTTAACACAAAAAAATCTCCCATGTATTACAATCCAATTTTTCAGGACATCCAAAAAAGTTTAAAAAAAAATAATATATGACCCTCAGGCTACAGTCACAGATTTTAATAAATTAAAGCTATATTAAATCTTATTTTAAAAATAATAAATAATTTATAAATGATCAAAGTTTTTAGCGTATGTAGAAAGTTTTTTGAATCATATAGTAGGTGTTATATTATAGAGTGTTATCTATAGGAGATTTTATTTATTATTTTTCATTGATTCTACGATGGAGATATAGGCGATGCACATATAGAAGATATTATTAAATTATAACTTGTTTTTTAAGAACACCGAAAACTCAAATTTGCAAATTTAGAACATAGGTGTTTTTATAATATATTACGGATATTTGAATTAGTTTTTTGTATAATATACAATACATAGGTACCCTATAAATGGATATAAATGATATAATACACACACTACTTATACGTAACTATAGTATTAATATAATTTTTGTAAATACAAATTTAATTAAGCTATCCTGCACTTTGAATTTTTATACTTATTATAATATTTATATTATATATATATATACATTGCAGATATTATATACAGCATATTATGCTGTATATAATATTTGCAGCTATAGATTACGACGTGGTGTCTAAAATTGTAACCACCAGAAGATATTTTTTATAAAATTAAAATTGTTTTAACTTTTGAAGTATAAGTTTTAGAAAATAAAAATTTAAAAAAGTATTGTTCAGTTAAGTGCATTTATCCGCCCCCCCCCCCTAAAAAAACAAAGAAAGTATATATATATATAAGTTTATTTTTTAGTTAGCAAATATTTAAATATTTACCCAGCTTTTTTAAAAATTTTAAGTCAATTTTAGGGTAGACGAGCTACAGTTCATTTGAAAAGAATATTGCCATTTATATGGTAGCTTGTTGGATCGGTTATTGGTCATTTATTTTGCGCGTCATTAATCTCACAGGTAAAAACTTTGGTTAGATAAAGGGGTAAAACATGATTGCGTATGTTCGTTATCGGTGATACTTTTTTAAGTTACTTGATTGCGTACAATTTTACTCGATTTTTAACTACACGATCGTATACTAAATATCAAGCGTTATTATTTGTTATTAATAATGGTTTGATGATTTTCTTTATTTATTAATTATTTTATATTGATTGTTGTAGAAATATTACAGATATTTATTTTTTATTATATAATAAAATTAATAATCATCTACAAACATATTTAATGGTGTTGTCAAAAAGAACAAACGTACACAATCGTGTTCTGTGTTCTATCCAGCTGTAGATAGTAGTGATACGGCCGGATGATAATAAACTGGTTATAAAAACGAGTGTATTTCAGGTTTAAAAAGATTTAAATTTAAGAATAAACAAATATTAAAATTATTCGAATGATTTTAAAATTTTTTTAATGAAGTATAAATAATTAATTACGAATAGTTTTTTTTTTAATTATAATAAAATAATTAACAACATTTGTTATTTCAAGCCAATTTGAATTTAAAATGTCTTTAACAAATAATTTTATATAATTTAAATTTTATTAATTCAGTATGAACTACTTACGAGGAATCTTGCATTCAATTTTCAAAATTTATAAATAAAAAGAAAAATTTTAATACATTTTTAGTTATTAAATAATTGCTTCCAATTTTTGCAATCTTAACAAATTTCATCAATATTTCAACTTTAAATAATGTATATATAAAATAATATTGATTATATATAATTTAATTTTTATTATTTATCCAATAATTATATAATATTATATGAACTAAAGAGACATTAACCTTAGTTATAATTTTTATGATTCAGAATTTCAAAAACATAAAGATATACTACAATTATACCTATAGCTATCAGGTGAATGCAGTTCTTAAGTGTTTTTCAAAATAAATATCACTAATCAGATTCAAATATATATGTCACGGGTAATGTTAACATTCGGATAATGTCGACATTATCCGGCTAATGTCGACATTAGCCATATGTTAACATTACCCGCCATGAATATTATTAAATGCCGGCAAATGTTAACATTAACCGGTTAATATGACATTAGCCAAGGACTTATGGATAATGTCTTAACAACTATAAAATTGCATCATGCATGATAGGAAATCATTTTAAATTATTAGCAATATTAAATATATTTTAGATACAATTAACCATATGCAAAAAAAAAAAGATACAATAATTACTAATTACCATAAAATACATAATACGAGTATAATTTAAATGAGCTTATTTTTCATTTTTAATAACCTAATCTACTAATAATACAATATTAAATTTTATTTTATATTTTAAGATTTTTTTTTAAATAGTATTTAAGAATAGAATGAATGTGTTATTATTTATTATTACATGGCATACTTCCATGACATTTTGAATTACACAAAATATTAGATGATTTACACTTACAACGATTGGTATCACATTTACCTTTGCATGAACACCTTTTGTATCCTTGACCACCACTACCGTCTGATATTAGACCAGCAATTTCCCTCAATGATTTTTCTATAGGTACCACCTCATCAAGCGGTATTAATGATATTTTATCGGTAAGATAACTGACTAACTCAATTATAAGTTAAGATAAGATAAGCTGGGGTCAGTGGTCACGTTAAATTAATATACCAAGCAGTGATGAAACTTAAATAAATTAAATAGTACATAACTTTTAACATTATCCAAAATTGACTGGCTAAGGTTAACATTATCCGGATAATGTTGATATTTCAAGTTTATAAACGAAAAATTACACATTAGCCAACATGGATGGCTAATGTCGACATTAGCCGGATAATGTCGACATTATCCGAATGTTAACATTACCCGTAACATATATATTAGAAGAAAATGTTTATAATTTGATTTTTTCATCTCGATAAATACTGAACGCTGTTCAATGTAGCGACTCACAAATTGATACTATTTAGTTACGCCTAATCGTTAACATATATTTAAGCAATTATTATTATATTTTTATTTCGTATTCATATCATATAATAACTATACCTACTATAAAATTTAAAAAATAATAATAATTTAGTACCTATAATGTAAATAGATATTATTTTTTAAATATTTTTTACCTCAAAATAACCAAATTGTTTAACAAATATTTTGAATTCACCTATTTTAATTGTAAGAATTAAAAATTATTGAGTTAAAAATATTAAACGAATCGTATATAATATGTTTTAGAACTAAATGTGTTAATAAAAAATTGTTGAAATAGATACGAAATAAGTATAATATAAAAAATAATTGTAATTTTATAAACAGCATATTTTGAGATTTTCAATTGTATATTATAAGTACATTTATGTAGAATTAGTGTTAAAACTGAAATTAAATTTAATAGAGTTTAATTTTAAAAAGAGCAAAAGAGCAAAATATTTTATTTTTATTTTTTGATAAGATGAGTATACTAGTACAAGTATAAAGCTTAATCTTTAAGTACAAATTTCTTAAAATTCAATTTATTTACTGCGTATTATTTCTTCAAAAATTTGAGGTACACTAATTCGATATCTCTATAGTTTGAGGTTTTCTTCTACTCAGTACTTTCTATTATATTATAATTAACGATCTACTGACATGTCAGACAGATCAAACGATCAAAGATTTATTTTTGCAATATAAAACATTTCATATTATACGCGTTGTATAAATTAATGGTTATTGATTATATAGAGGATTAGTATGACGTATAATATATAATAACTATTTTTAAATATACTTTGGATAATATCAAATGAAAATCGCATTCTAAAACATAATAAATACTTAGTACATATTATAAGAAATACAAATTTATTTTTCTTTCATGTAAGTAATATACTATACAAAATACAATCAACCTATTAACTAATATAATCTATACTTTCTACTTCACTTGAGAAATAGAATAAAAAACTACATGACACATGGGAACAAGGAGCAGAAATTTAAAAATTTTCAAAACTAGTTATCTATTTACGCGTGTCCACAAAGTAGAAGGTGGAAATCATACATCATTAAAGAATAAATTTTATATTTTAAGGTATCAGCTTAACAACAATAATTAAATAAATTATTATTTACTAACTTGTGTACGTCTCTCCTTAAGGCATTAAATAACTTGATCTGTATTTCCGTGGATGACGCATAAATAAGTACGTAACTAAGTTGTATACATTGTATCAGGCCATTAGTTTCACCCATCAGGTAATTTCTATTAATTTTTTAACAATATTTAGTATATGATCATTTTGACTTTATATTAGTATCATACGCATAAAACACATAAAATTTACAAAATTTTGATTCTACGATAATATTAAAATTATATTAATAATTGTGACGGTATAGGTGTATCCATAAGAAGAAAATAAAGAAAGGGGCCATTTAAAACTCTTGAATTATTAATTTTTAATTAAATAATCGTAATGATTGAAAGCTGGTGTTAATAAATATAAACAATTTATCTAATCAAATAAATCTCAGAACTTGAAATTCTTCAAATTTTTGTAGGAAAACTCGATGAAGTTTTCAATTATTGCAGAAATAGATAAAATACTTATCTTTGTCATTGTCTATTATATACAAGTGATTTTAAGAAAGTGAAAAATTAATAGTGTAACCAAGAAGAAGTGTGACTATAGAAACTG